ATAAGCGTAAGCTCCTCACACGTAGCACACACGTAACAGGTAGAGAAACCTAACCCACTACCTTGTAACTTGAGGAGACAAAGAGCTGCCACCTGCCAAAAATTAAAGATTCCATATAACGGTTCACCATTGGGTATCCCTGTAAAACACCTCTGCCTATAAATAGTTTAACGGTTTCCGCCCAAGGCGGAGAGCTCTGAGGATCTCGCAGGAAACACCTGTGCTTGTCACCAGAGAATTGGGAAATTGATCAATTCCCAATCAATCACCCCGTCAGCGTAAACTATTGACGTAGAAAGTCTTGCAAGCTCGACCGTTCGTTCCCGGCGCCACGTCCGTCATTATCCCGTTGTAACCTAACTGCGTGTGTGTACTCGACTCTGTAACCGAAGTTATATGCGTATATTCAACTCTGTAACCGAAGCTGTAACGGAACAAAGGCTCACCTGTGTCGTCTATCACTATCTAGGCGACGTAAGTAAACAAACTCCTGTAACCTACACGTGTCTGTGCCTGGTTAATTCCGGTGGTTAAATCCTAAACACTCCGATGTGTGAGTCAGGCAGCTGCCGGTGGCTGCTCTGATTCACGACACCAAGGAGGGGACACTTCCCCTCTATCGGGCGCTGGTCAGACCGCAGTTGGAATACTGTATGCAGTCTTGGGCGCCGCACTTCAAGAGGGATGTGGATAACCTGGAGAGGGTCCAGAGAAGGGCCACTCGTATGGTTAAGGGGTTGCAGGCCAAGCCCTATGAGGGGAGACTAGGGCACCTGGACCTCTTCAGCCTCTGCAAGAGAAGGTTGAGAGGCAACCTTGTGGCTGCCTATAAGTTCATCATGGGGGCACAGAAGGGAATTGGTGAGGCTTTACTCACCAAGGCGCCCCTGGGGGTCACAAGAAATAATGGCCATAAGCTAGCAGAGAGCAGATTTAGACTAGACATTAGGAAGAACTTCTTCACAGTTCGAGTGGCCAAGGTCTGGAACGGGCTCCCAAGGGAGGTGGTGCTCTCCCCTACCCTGGGGGTCTTCAAGAGGAGGTTAGATAGGCATCTAGCTGGGGTCATCTAAACCCAGCACTCTCTCCTGCCATGCAGGGGGTCGGACTCGATCTATTGAGGTCCCTTCCGACCCTAACATCTATGAATCTATAGAGGAATTCAGGCACGCACTTATTCCAAGGTAAGGAAGTGTTGTATCCACAGGATAAGCAAAACAGGAATAAGGAATGCCTATTGTGGAATAAGTATCCATGTAAGGAATTATTCAAGAATAGCTGTTTCAGAATGAATCCATGTGTAGACAAGATGTAATGCCTTGCTCTCTGCCTGACAGAGAGGGTGCCAGTTCTGGTGGGGTTTTGTGGCGTATTCATTTAATTTTATGCTAGAAATTAGGCTGCTTTTGTGGCAGCTGAGTGTTTAGACTACTCTGATAGTAATAGCTTTTAATCAATACTGACATGATCTAGAATTCAGCTACCAAGCTACGCTAGGAAAGAGAAACTCTAAATATTGTTTCCAACTCCTGAGTCATTCAGTCCCTCTGGTTTTCAGAATTATCTTTCCCAATCCCTTTTTCAACCTCAGTGATGTCATGTTCAATTGGGAGTCACCTGTCAAATACACGATGGAAATACCATGCATTAAAGATATATCTACATGGTACAAGACAGGGCCATGTAGACATGGACTAACTCAGGTACTGGAAAGGGTCAAGTCATTTTAGCCTAACGGCCTGTGAAGGCTAATTTACCCTGATGAAAGGCATAGTACAGGGGTGGGCAAAATATGGCCCACAGGCCAGACTGGGACTGCAGCAGACTCCATTTCCCAGCAGCCCTGGTGGCAGCAGCAGCTCCTTCTGGCTGCTGCTGCTGGACCCAACCCCACTGCTAAAGCACCCTGGCCCATCTGCCTTGTACCCACTGATGGGGGCAGGACCTATGTGGACAGGACATACAGTTAGGTGGTTGGGATGGGGCTGTGACCAGGAGCGAGATGAGCAGGTGGAGCTGGGGAAACCCCAAGATCATGGGATGGTGACAGTGTGGGACCAGGACCCGGAAAAAGCTGCAATTTGCTACCCACATGCCCCTGTGATCGGCATGGTTTCTTCAGGCAGGGGCATGCAGGGAGTAAATCACAGTTCAGCCCTGGCCCCGGCCCTGTGCTGTCACCACCCCAAGATCGTGGCCTCAGACCCAGATGCAGCTCCCTGCCCAGCCGCTTACTCTGCCTGCATGGCTCCCAGCCAGTCTCCATGCAGAACCTGGGATCGTAGGGCTATGACAATGTGGGGCTGGGGCAGAGCCCCAGTTCTGCTGGCAGGGTTTTGTGGGGAGTACATTGAGGCTCTGTCCTGACCCCATGTTGTCATCACCTCAAGATCCCAGGGTCTCCTTGGTCCTTCCTGCCTATCTTATTTTCAGTTGTGGCCCTGTCCCAGACCCCTGGCCACATACCCTGCTTGCACGGGTTCCACCACTGGCATTGGTTGTACAGATGGGCCCAGGGGCCCAGGCAGTGGGGCTGAGTCCAGCAGTGGCAGCCAGAAGGAACCATGGCCACCAGGGCTGCTGGGAAATGGATTCTGGTCACAGTCTGGATCTGCTATTTTGCCCACCCCAGTATAGTAGCTCAGATGGAGACTGGCTCTGCTGATTCTGGTATTTGGAATTAGTTTGGGTATTTTTGCACTGCATTGTCATATGTAGATTTATCCCAAGTGTTCCATGTTGTAAATACAGTCTCCTTTTGTAACTTTTGTGGTATGGAGGATGTTATCACAATGACATGAAACATCTATACAATTCATCCCACTACAGGAGTAGCTAGGTCAGTTTGATTGAGTCACTGTCCTGAAGTGAGAAAGCAATGAAATATTGCAACATGACCACTGCAAGTCAAAACTGAAGTGGATTGGTAACGTTGTGTGGCAGCAAGCACAATGTACTATAGGTTAGCTAGTGTTGCTATCTTATTTTTACAGACTTCAACCTTTTGGCTTTCTCACATGCAGGAACCACAATGTCTATCATGTACTAAAGCCTTGCTGGTGCCTCAGCTGGCATATGTAGCCTGGTCCTTGCTCATGTATAGAGAATTTGGCTGAGAAGTGCCTCTTTCTCTGGAACTGGCAAGCATCACCTACCCACCTTTCCTGCTTCCAATTCCTTTTCTTGCACCACGTTTGGTAAGTGTTTATATGATAAAATAGTAGTAGTTGTTCTATTAAGACAGTAGGAGAACTAAAGTTTTATCATGGAGCAGTAGCCTCTGTAGACCATTAGTCTCTCTCCAACTCTTTACAGCTATACCTTAACTGAGGGCCCATCTCCCAATTCTCAACTCTTCTAAATTAGGGAACATCTCTAAATTATACCTTTAATCACTAGCAGTACAAAACCTTTGTGATAGATATAACCTTCTCTACCTATTTGCCACAGTCCAATCCTCCAAAATGACTGGAAAAACCTACCTTGTTGGTCAGGCTTTATTTCAGGTGACTGTGGCTCTGTTGTTTTGGATCTGGTACCATCTTCCTGTTTTACCCACTTTCCAGGGGCGCTCTTAGTCCCAGAGATAACATTCAATTTTTCTCTCTCTACCCAAGGTCTGTCCTCTTAGTAGCCCACTTGTTTTCTTTCAGACAGCTGCTAGAATACATATATGCTGCCTTCTCTGTATGGGTAAGGGCAAAAGGCCTTAGCACACTGATCCTGAATTTATTTTTAGTGTTAGAAATCAGTGTTAAAGTGTTCCCTGACATCTTAGTTTTTTACCTCTGTTAAATTAATCATCAGGATCATCTTAATCAGTTCTGAATTCTTAATTTCAGAGCATGTATGCCTACATGGCAGTGCCAAGTAGAGGTATGTGAACTTGCCCTGAAGCTAGCTGGGGTACTAAAAATTGTACAGGTATGTAAGCCAGTTGCACACTTTGCTTCCATCCCCTCACTTTATCTCTACTAGAAAACCTGGCTTGAGTCCCTTAGCATTTATTAGGCACTACCACTCTGGGATGCCTCCCTAGGTGGTCCTAAATCCGCACTGAAAATGGGTCCTTTTCAAGCAAAATCTTAATCCATAGAACAAAATATATCACTATGGAACAGGAAATAGTTCCTTAATTGAGTGTACAATCAAAGTTTACCTATTAACTTTAGACTATAAGCTTTTTGTTACTGGCTTTTTTGTTGCATTGGTATGTGTATGTGCTGCAAGGCACCACTATGCAGGGATTCCCTGTATTAACTCTGAAGCCAGAAACAGCTTAGTTTAGCTCTTAACAGCAGAGTTTAGTAGCTCATGGGCAGTGCCTGCTTCTAGGTCCTACTGCTTGCTAGTGCGCTTAGGGTAGCATGGGCTACTTTATGCTGTACAGAGGCAAATCTTTCATTTCTACAGCTCCTAGCAGAATGGGATATGAATCAATACTGTTGTTTATTTGTATTACCTTTGCATGTAGGACGATAATAAACTAGATGGGTACTAAAGTATCCTGTCCACATTAAAAATAAGCAGGGGGCTAAGAACTGAGAACATCTGTATAAATGCACATTTGAGCAAGAATTGCAGTGGCTGATCCCTGAATATGGATCACAAATCTTTAACATCCTCTAAAACTAATGTTAGCATTCAAGTGAAACATTGAGGAAGACTTGGGATGCAGGCAAAAGGATCACTCTAAATGCTGGGCTACTGCTAGCTTCATGCTTGTTCCATACCAGAAGCAGCTACAGAACAGAGCCATTTGTCATTAAAATACTGCCCATGCAATCAAACCTGACAAAAACGTAAAGTAAACGCCAAACGTGTAGAATAAGTGTTCAACTTTTAAATAAATAGGATGTTTTAATTTAAGCATACCTGATAAGTGAGGTAATCTAATCTTTCTAAAAGTAATTGTTTCCTCTAGAGTCTTTTGAGCTAGAAACCCATGCAATGCAGGCATTAATTTGGGGCTCTGCTGATAAATTATACATTAAAAAAATATTGCTATTACTTTAATGATCATTCTCAAAAGGCCCTAAAAATCTGAAGCAAAAATAAAGTTTACATTGGTCAAGGGTACAGGATGTAATTACTACAGAAATTGTCAAGAATAAGTTATACAAAATTCATGAAACAGGAAAAATATACTCTTTTATGCATCAATTTTGGGCCAGAAAGCCCAGTTAAGTTACTTTCATCAGGACAGAGGGAATACTTTATACTCTTGCAGTCAATATGGTATTGACTATAATGCAGTCAATGTAGTCAGCGTGGTGATGAGATACTGTAGTTTTCAGAAGCCTTCATTAGGTTTTCAGTGAAATGCCATATTCTCATATTAGTCATCTTCACTGCTTTACATCTTAGAAGATGCATTTCAAACTGTTTTTAAAGTACATTATTATTCTGCTGTTCACCAAAATAGACCGATATACATTATAATATGTTTACGAAGTGGCAGTCTTACAATTCAACATTTTAATGCTTACATTCCATTCCAAGATCACTACAAAATTGTTTCAAATGGCTGTGCTTACTTTTTGGAACAAGTATTTCTAAGTGAAAAGGTTGATGGCTGCAATTTGATTATTAGCAAGTAAAAGAACACAGATAGGAATATTAAATTTGGTATGTCGGTATTCCGTGGAGAATGGAAAATGTTTACGGGACAGTTTTAGTATAGTGCCAATTCTGTGTGATTAAAAACTGCTAAACTCAATTGTCATTTATTTTGTTGCAGTGGGTCTGGTCATTTTAATATCTTCAGAGACTTTGCCTTTGCCAAGAATATTAGCCATTTTAACACAGGGTCTCCATATTGTTTCCTCCTGGCCCTCCTCAAATGAGTGTAGGTTAAGTTAACAGAGCTTGACACCTATTGTAAAAATACTTGCTGGAGTGCTCATTCTACATGAAATGAGAATACATTTTTGTTACAATGGGTACAGAACTCTTGTCCTTGTACAACATGGACCAGAGCTATTTGTAACAGACTTAAGATGGCAGGGGGTAGGAGATGAAGTTTTGACACCCACTCTCTTAAACAACTCATTTCCTAGTGCAGAAGCTATTAGAATCTCTGTGAGCTTAGAGTGAGTTTAGTTGCACTTTGACAGAGCAAAGTTGACTGATCCATGCTTCCCAAATTGCTACTCATCTATTAATTCATTCAGTGCCTCCAACAGATGTCTGCATGAGGGTATGGAAACTCAACTAGCAATAACAGGTCTTACAAATGGGGCTCCAAGGACCTGAGGTAATAGCCAAATAAAACATTAGTTCTCTGAATAATTATACTAGCATCAGTTTTAGTTAAAGCTAACTAAATGTCCACATCATAAAAGTTACCACTGCAATTGGCACCAAGGGGCTCCACATGTTGGCAGTCTCAGCTGAGAGCCTGAGGGCAGAATGGACGTGAAGAGGGAATGCTATTGCAGGGAATGCTATTTCTGGGGGTAAGATATGGGACAATATAAGAAATGCTTCCAGTGTTCCATGGCTGTTCCACAGATGAATCAAGGGGTATCAATTCAGTATCCTTCTAACACTGAGTTAGTTTAGAGTTGAAAGGTTGGGGTGGGGGGGGATGTGGAGAAGGAGAGGCAAGCATTTAAAGAGAGAGCCTATTATGTAAAGATACATTATGTTAAGTTATCCAGGTACAGTTAGATCAAATGTTTTTCTTGAAATGTGCTTCTAGAGATATCTAGACAAAAGGATTTTTTTTTAAATGAGATATGTTGTTACTGTGAAAGGTGTTGGGATCTACAGAGTTGCAAACTGAAACTTCCTCCTCTCACAGAAAGCAAAGGATGGTCAGTGGCACTGCAGACTTCCCCATCTCATGCTAATGCTTCTCCACCTAATTTTTAGGAACAAGAGTTCTTTACTCTACAGTCCAATCAATCCCTGGCTTGATTGCTGCCAACAAGCATGACAACTAATGCCAATTGTGACAGTTGTTTTTGTGAAGGGGGACATCTGTCTATATAGAAACTGGACTGGGACCACAAACTCATTTCACAGAGGCCACCAAATAGTGATCAGATGGTAACAATTAACAGCTTAGCTAAGATATGAACTAGAGTTCTGCAAGTGAGAGACTCTATATCTGATTCATGCTGACCTGTGCCAATTCTATGTTAAAAGAAAAGTGTCTAATTGCTGACAGACGGCTATCCTCCATCAAGAGCCTCCTACCTTGAGGACGTTCATGTGTTTTGAAGTTTAAAAATTTAAACAGTATGCTGTCAGCCATGCCCCTGAGAGAAAAAAATGGGTGTTTTTGAAAACATGATCAGTATGTGTTACAGATGTGCTTCAACAGGAATGTGAGCTATTTGCAAACTCTGATCAGTTTATTTCAACAGTTCTCTATTTTTCCATGGTAAGGACCACTTTGGAAGTGTCCCCTTTTTGAGCTAGCCCCATCCTAGTGTGCCATTTCCATGCTGTTTGGTTCCCTAAACCTTTCCTTCACCTGCTAAGCTCTAAGCTCAGTATTTTAACGCAGATTCCCCACACAAAAAATGCCAATGGAACAAAATATAGCCACAGTAGCCTTTAAAAAAAATTGACATGGACAACGTTTAGGCATTTAAAGAGTGACAGGAATAAACATGTTCTTCAGTGAGTGGGCAGGCAATTTTATTAACTCTTGACAGTCTACCTATGCACGTATTTGCAGGGCAAAAAGCACTAGCGGTTCACAATGTTTCTTTAATTTTTGTGCAGAAGCATCGATTTTTTTTTTTTTTTTTTTTTTCAGATCGCATTTTGTAACACAATATCAGTCTTGCCATGCCCATGTTCTAGATGGGCTGTAGGGATTCTACTGTAATTATGTCAAAAATGAAATATCTCAAAATGTGATTGACAGGTTGATTACAATAATGCATGTGATTAAACTCAGGGTGTGCTTGTGTAACGAACGAGAGAATGTCAGTGGTAATTAACTGTATTTTTGTTAAATTTTGTTGAGCATTTCTTGCTCTCAGGTTGCAGTATATTATAACCAATGAGACATCTAGTGGTGGGACAATTTTCAATTTCTTTTCTGGAACAGAGATACCACCTGGGACTGGGCGGGGGTGGAAATGGATGGACAGGCAGATGGACCAGTCTTTATACATGCTCTTCATTTTATTTACTGGTATCTTGTGTAAATTAGCATAACAAAGAAGTGTTGCTGCTCTCCAGACAGTAAATTCCCAGTAGTCAGGAAAGTGGAGATTACAATAGCAATAGCTTAAAATGTTACCATTTAAGATTGATGTTTCCGCCATCTTCTGTAATATAAGGAATTTGTTAAATAGAGGTTAATGTTGTTCCCCAACTGGAAAGTTTACATGGTGAAGCCAATTTACCAAACAGCTCTAGTTATTTGATAGTATTTTGCATATATATTGCATACCTTTCTCCACCTATTCTCCATCTGTTTTTCTTTTTCTGTGAAAAGCATTTTGGGGTACAGACTATTGTGCCGTATGTCTGTGAAACACCTTGCTCCTTTTTAGTAGGTTACTATGACAGAAATAATAAAGAAATGCATTATTTTTACATTAGATTTGTCTATTCTTCAGTTCTGCTTTTCATCCAAGAATTATCAAACTACTAGATAAAAGCTGTGATGTGTTATATTTCTTTGTAGTGCCATAGCAAGGGAGAGGGCGAGTGGGGTGACGGAAGCAAAGGGGCGCCAATAGGCACAGCCCAGCCAGGGCAGGGCATAGGATGGAGACACGAGTGGCTTGTTTGGGGGGCCACGGGGACAGGGGGAGGGAGGGCGGCAGAAGGCCGGGGCTAACAGGGCTCAGCCCTGCCAAATATAGGGCAGTAGGTAGGGCTGCAAGGCAGCCTGGCCATGGGCTCCGGGCAGCTGCAACAGGGGTGGGGAGGGGTGTGCATGCAGTCAGGATCGCAGCCCAGCATGGATTGCTGGCTGCCCAGCATGGCAGGCAAGTAGCAATTGATTCTGGGAAGGGGGCGCAGATTGAGGCCCCTGCAGTGAAGAAGGGAGTGGGGCAGAGGCAGGGACTAGGTGGTGGAACAATCAGAGCCCAGGTGGCTTGTCCAGGGATGCGGGGGAGCTCCTGCCACTGTGCACCCCGGGGCAGGTCTTGGGAGCATGTGCCCCCTTCTCTGTGTGTGGGGCGGAAGCGGGTGCTGCTGCTGGCTGGGCTCTGCACCCTGCTGCCACTGCCTCTGGAGCTGTGTGATGCCATGTGCGTCCTGCTGCTAGACAGGCAGGGGGCACGGCATTGCACAGGCCAGTGGTGGCAGGCATGTGGCATTGTGCCACTCCCAGCACACCAGAGCAGCAGTGGGCTGCAGAGCCCAGGCCACAGTGGCAGCCCAGCTCCTCTCCATGCACAGATACAGGGGGCATGTGCCCCCCATGCCTGCCCTGGGGATCTGCAGTGACGGGAACCCCCCATGCCCCTGCCCCACTCTTTCTCACCACGGGTGCTTCAATCTGCCTCCCCCCACCCATGGTCCTTTCCCCTTTCCTCACCCCTTCCCCCCCAGAGACTTACCTGCTGGGGAGGGTGGGGGCACATGTGCGTGCATGTGCGCGAGCACTCAGCCCCCTCAACTAATTATTTCTCCCTCTGACTATAGGCAGCTCCTGCCACTGTGTGCACTTCCAGGCAAGCATGGGGGAAGGGGTGTATGTCCCCCCAGATCTGTGTGCAGGGCAGGGGCAGGCTGCTGATGTGGGCTTTGCCGTGGGTGCCAAACTTGGTTGCTAGGGCACTGTTTCCTGGGAACAAATAATTCAGTATCCTGCTGCGGGAGTATGGGCATTGTAAAGAAGAATCAATACATAGACGGAAGGGCAAGGTAGCAAACTGGCCTGGAACTCATCTGATTTCTTTCAGGTTTTAAACTATTGTGTGGCAACTGTCTTCCTATGCACCTGTACAGTACTGGCACACTTTGGCTGCTCACGTAACTTTAAAAGTGACAAGGTAATAATACAGAATATTAAAAACATAATAAAGTGCAGATATATAGAAACAAATGCAGAGGTCTGCTCAAAGGGATTGTTAGGAAAGATGACAAATATGGGGTAATAGTTATAGTTCTTCCCAGTATATTTAAAAACTGGGAAGGAATAAGACTATATGAATTTCAGTTTGCTGAATGAAATGCATACAACAAAGCCTGACAATACCCAGATAGCTTGTGATGAAATCCTTATGTAGCAGCTGTAGGAGTGAGGATATGACTGTATTTATATAAGGTCTTACAAAGTGTGGGGTCATACCTGCTTGTATCAAAGGAGGGTTAAAAAATATACATTTTCATTTTTCACTGCATTTTGTTCAAACCTCATTACCTCGGGAGATCACTATTAGATCAGTAAGCTTACTGCTAAGACCAAACTCACTTCATTCAAGAGATCTGCATCCTCTGAGCTACAAAGGAGAGCAAATAATAAGTTTATAGATTCCTGGTTTCTTATTTAAATAGCATGTACTAAGAACACCAGTACCATTTAATAGAGAACTGTTTAGAGGTATGCTAATGGCCACAAGAAAATTTCAAACCTCCATAATGTGCTTTAATCACCAGCAGGAGATCAAAAGCTACCATGTGATTTTATACAGCATGGGCAGCTTCCAGAACTGCCTTACATGGAAAGAGATCAATGGTAAAATTGGTAGATACAGCAAAGCTTTTGCAATAAAAGCGTTTTATGTATCTTGTTCAAAGCATTTAAGTGCCTTTTAGATCACTGATTGAACTGTAGACATTATAAAGTGGAACCTTTTAATACCAAAATAAATTTTCAGAGTAAAATTCCATTATAGGAAAAAGTGTTGCACTGCAACAGGATAGATAATAATTCTTTCGCATGTAATGGGATATATGAAATGTTTGATGATAAACAGAAGTTCTTTGTATCATTACAGGAAGACTCAGTATAGACACAAACAACTGTACAGAACAATATATTTTGTATATATATTTGGTATTTCCTATATATAGTGTATATGTACCTATAAATACATACCCTAACTAAGATGGGTGAATACACTTTATCTTGAGGCAGTTGAAAGGAAGGAGAAAGTGCTGCTCCACCCATATGAATATTGGACCACAACCAAAGTAAACATATGAGCGCTTTAGAAACTCACAAAAGCCCTTTAATTTGGATTAATTTAGTGGGCTTCAAACAGACTCTAGTCTTAGAAGGCTCAAGTTAGTTAAAATTATTTCTTTTAACATATTCAAATTATCTGCCTGTGAGCTTCACACACACTCCCAGGAAAGGAGAAACTTTTCAAAGCATCTGACTCAATAGCTTCTTTTCCACACCAGTATTTTGATGAGACAATAATGCCATTCCAACCAATCTTTCTCATTTTTTATTCTCATGCTTTATTTATTTTTGGCTACATTATTGCTTTGGTCTCACCAGTATAAATCACTTAAGGTAATGGAATACCAGTTCATTAGATGCTCTCTGCTTTCCATTATGCTCTGTCCACTGAATTTCTCTACTGAGTGAGAATTGACTGAATTCAGACTATGCCAATCTGACCTATCTCTTCAGCCCCACAAGAAATCCTTAAGATGAATTTCACTTGCTATTTAAATGAAATGCTCACTCTTTCCATTTTATCTTAA